CTCCTTGATTTGCCACACCTGTCAGGTGGATGGATTATCTTGGCAAAGGAGAAATGCTCACTAACAGGGATGTAAACAAATCTGTGAGAGAAATAAGCTTTTTGTATTAATAGAAAATGTTGGGGATTTTCTTTTTCAGCTCATAAAACATGGGATCAACACTTTACATGTTGCGTTTATATTTTTGTTCAGTATAAAACAATTTATAATACTTTGCATTGCATTCTAACAAGTCTCAATCCCAGCTCATTTTAACACCGGAGCTCATCCCTAGGCATCAAACCAAGGATAATGGAGGATTTCTATGAGCCTATTGATTCAACTTTAGAGAGTGAGGGAGAAAGCATCTCCAACACTCAAATACATTATGGAATGTAATAACTATAACACCAGGAATGAAGACCTTTACTAGTACAATTCTTTGCTCTCTACCTCATTGTTCTGGCAAATGTTTTCAAATCTCAACTGTGAATTACATTTAGCTGACATCATCCCATAAACACTTGAATGATTTCAACATTGCCATGATATATGATTCCTCTGTGTTTTAGTTGATTAAAATGTATTAAGTGATGTATTCTTTAGTTGCTAGAGGCATATGGCACCGATTAACTGGCACAGGCCTACCATGGCTTATGGTAAAACTATGAAAATAATTCATTACATGCAGCTCAGTGGCAACATGCAACAAATGTTCAGTGAATAACCACTTTATTATTCTTTCAGGTTCATATAGGAACAGCCAGACTCACAGCCTTACCAGACACGTCATAAACATCAGAATACGTAAAATAGGTCAGACATGAGCTGCCTAATTTGGTTTGAACTACTTTAATGACAGCCATGCCACCATTAGAGTGCCTTGGTGACCAGTATTGACAGAGGAACAACCACCCCCCCCCCCCTCTCTGCCCAGGGGCGAGGACAGAGCAAAGCTAGTTGGAAGGAGGAGGGGGTTAGCTGGCATCATGCCACCCTCCCTGCCTAGTCTGGCTGAGTGAGGAGTGGGTGGCAGGGAGGGAGGAAGGGCTGCTGTGGCTCAGATTGATGAGGCCAGGTCTGTGGTCTGGGTATAGAGTGTTGCAGAACAGACGTCCTGCTGGCACTTCCTGCCCTTTCCTTCCGCTGTGCACACACAGCCCTCCATGCCCGCCCCAGCCCTCCGTGCCCACCCCAGCCCTCCGTGCCCGCCCCAGCCCTCCGTGCCCGTCCCAGCCCTCCGTGCCCGCCCCAGCCCTCCGTGCCCACCCCAGCCCTCCGTGCCCGCCCCAGCCCTCCGTGCCCGTCCCAGCCCTCCGTGCCCGTCCCAGCCCTCCACGCCGCCTTATCGGAACTCCTAATTGTCCTTATGAATATTTTAGAGGCGAGCAGGAATGGGAGTTGAGGGCGGGGGTACGGTTTCAAGGGCTCTGACAGCTAATGATCCACTTTGTGGGTACAGGGAGGGAGAGACAGAGACAGAGAGAGAGACAGAGAGAGAGAGAGAGACAGAGAGACAGAGCGAGACAGGGAGGGAGGGAGGGAGGGAGGGAGGGAGGGAGGGAGGGAGGGAGGGAGGGAGGGAGGGAGGGGAAAGATGTTAAGTGAACTTCTTGTAGTAGTAAGAGTTTGTTTAGTGAATGGTTATTTACTTAAATTGTATACCTTTTTACACTTTTTATGTTGAATGTAATTTCTTCTCATCTAAAATATACCCACATGGCGCTCTATAGATATCTAGAACTAGTTGGATGTAATGGAGCGTGTTTGTCTCATTTGTTCCCATTCTTTTAAAGATGTAGATAATGATGACATGTCTTTATCCTCAATTTGGACTTCAATTCCCAGTTGGCTAAATGTTCTGAAAATATCCAAGCCGCTGATTGAAAGTGTGTTCTCTTTTGACTGTGGCAACTAATATCTTTGACACGTCCATCAACAGTCTCTGAGCAGCTGTCTCTCTGAGGGAAAAGTATTGCTCGCTGCAGTGCAATGGATTCTTATTCAATAATATAGCGGCTATATTTATCAAAGTGATAATCTAGTCAGTCAACCACAGTAATTATCTGCTTTACTGTATATTGAGCTGAGCTGAGACAGAGGCTTTCTCTTCCCTGTCTGCCTCCTTTAGACACATGCAGACCACTGCTCAGTTAGGCTCACTCTACTTTTATACGTCTGCATGTGTTAGTCTTTTTGGTGGATCAGCTTGGAGCTAACTGTGGTCTCGCCATTGTCCTGTTTTTGGAGGGGATTGGATTACAGACTGTATATTGTTTTCCAAACAACTGCAGTCAGATAATAATAACCAAACAAAATGCAGTCCGTCCCGTCCAATCCTGTGAATTGAGGACAATGGTCTGACAGAGAGGTCATATCCTGATATCAGTTAGATCACTGATGATGTGGAATGGTCATTAAAACAGATATGTCTGGGAATCAAAACCACTTTCCTTATCTAGCCCTCCCTACTCCCCTACTCCCAGACCAGTAACATGACCAGTACCAGTGAGTAGAGAGGAGAAGCTTTTAGGGCCCTTGGTAATGGCATACAATACATACAGCCATTAGCTAGAGTGTCCACGAGAACAACCAACAGTTCCTTTTTCCCCCTCAAGTGAAATCTACAGCACCAAAGGAAAAATGGGAGCATGCTCACACTGAAAGACTTGTCTCTTAAGATGTTATATAAGAGAGTATTTGTGAGCAGATAAAAGCCTTGCTATCAGCAACCTCCCCATGCTGATTCTCAACTGCCTTCACACTCAAAGAGGCCCTTTGATAAGCACATTAGATGGAACGGACCGGACACAATGGTGATGTCATGAGGATTAGCATGCTACCTTGCTTAGTGCGGCAACAGGCACAACAGCTCATTCACAACACTGCAGGGTGAGCAAGGAGGGGAGGAACGCTACAGAAGCAGAAATAGTTAAACTATACATACTTTATATAGACTATAATACAATAATAATGGCTCTTAAAGTATGATCTTGGTGTATGTTCTGTGTAGCTACCATTGCACACTGGAAAACACTCACAGTTCAGCCTCTACCTGCCATCTCCCCACATTTGAAAAGTTACTGTCTACTTCCAACCTCCCTTTTATTCAGGTACAGTACATGAATAAGTGAAATTTTAAAAGCTCTTGACACAAGTGGGGGGCATTGGAGTGTAATGGTGTTCTATCCAAGGCAGACTGTGCAGAAATTGCTTGGGCCTATTTCAGTGAAAGTGCTTCACAAGGAACAGGCAATGTAGGTGGCTTACGCAACAGCTTCAAAACAGCTTCGGCTCCACTTTATTTTTAACTCCTGAAATGATGTTTGCTTCAGTTTTGAATGTATATGGGGCTATGATATAAACTCTGTGGTTGGTGTTAAACTCAGCCAATTGTAAAAAAGACCCTGTCAGTCTTTTGAGTGTTATATTCATGTTTATTTTATGTGACATAAACGTTGATCTTTATGGAACACTATATATATAATCTATGGTGGGTGAAATGTAATATAAAAAATATATAGATTTAAAAAAGTACAATTGACACTACAATTGACACAATGCTCCAAAAACTCATACTCCTGTGTATGTTTGTGAGTTTCAGCTAAATTAACAATTATTGGCGCTATGGAGGAGATGAGTGATACAGGTACACTAGATGTTATCGTCAGTATGTCGGTTGGGCATACAATACTAAGAATGAAGTGACACATTTCAAGGCCTCCCTTACTAAAGGCATGCTTTCTGTTCTCTTATTGCTACATTCATACACTCACTATGATGTCCTGCTGGTTTGACGTCAGACTCCCAGACTCACATTTTGAGTGTATAGAGCCACATTTCTATCAATCCAGGTCTGGACGGCTGTGAGAAAATAGCTGCTGGCCTGGTTCCCACTGAACTTTATGAGCCTCCACAGGCCTTGTGAACAGATTACACAAGTTCACTCGTCACTACTCTCTTGTCTGCAGCCCCTGAATACAGACAGACCCACCACCCCTACCCAACCTCCATTATAAATGTTGTTGTTGAAAATCTCTCTGTTCTACTGTATTCACACCCCTCCAACTTTTCTTTCTTAATAAGCACAAACCACACAGCTTGACATTACTTTTGAAAATTTGTTTCAGAGCTAGAATTTGAAAAGCAATAGAAGGAACACTTGTTTTATTTTGGATTTAGTTTACCATACTTCCCACTGGGCAAAAACTGTTTGAATCAACATTGTTTCCATGTCATTTCAACAACAAAGAATCTATGTGATGACGTTGAATCAACGTAAGGGAATTTCATATTATTTTCACCCAACTCTTAACCTAAATGCAGTGACGTGGTGAAATGTTTTGTTGATTTCACGTTACTCAACCAAATATAAATCAAAACTAGACGTTGAAATTACGTTTGTGCCCAGTGCGTTCAGAGTTGGTTGGTTTTGTTTTCTAGGTTTTGCGCAAGGTTTGTATTGCTTTACCAATACTTTTATGTATTTATATTATGGAGTAAAATCCTTGACTGGGGAATGTCTGATGGCCTTCAGGGCTCCATGTGGCCCCTTGTAAGGCCATGTCGGTGTGAAGCTGTTTGTGATTGGCTGGGCTGGGCCGGGGAGCCAGGGCCTGACAGGTGTTTGGTAGAGGGACACCTGTTTGGCCATGTGCTGATTTAGTGATCCATTTACTGGGAGCTGCGGGCAGCGTCTGTGTGACACCCGAAACATGCCAAGTCATTTAAGGAGGAATAACGGCCATGCTGTCCCAGACCTTCACTCTTTAGCATGCTCAGCTAGGAGCACCTCAGAGGAAATATTCACTCTTTCTTAGGCACGCATGATTATGTCCTCATTTTAAGGTTATGTTGCATTTCAGTACATCTCTAATCAGAGTGATTAATATTTACTTATGAATCCATCTCTCATGGACAATGACCGAGATATGAGCACTCGTTGTTAGGCTTTGTGTTGTTTAGTCTCAGTGCAACATGTTCCATGGTTTGTTCTGAATGCTGAGTGTCCCTGGCACTGGATGTTTCCACACTGGCCCCTCCCTGAGTGGTCGCGGCCAGGGGCCAGAGGGGTGCGGCTGGTTGGAGGCTCATTGTGGAAGTGCTGCCTGCGGCCCTGCCCATCTCACACAGCCATGGCCGACCAGCCCAACCCAGCTATTCCCATAATGAGCAGGTTGGGACTTTAATTTGCAGGTCCCGATCAGATCTTTGGCAGTCTGGTGGAGAAAGTGCATAGTTTCCCTAGTAAACACAGCCTTTATGGGAGCCTAAGTAAAGAGCAGCCATAGTAAACAGGAAATGAACCAGGAAGGCGTTTTTTTTGTTGTTGAGAAGAATGCCCTTGCTCTGTACCACACCAAATACAAGTGCATCTAACTGCACATTTACACATGTTGTGTATCATTCACAGGGCCGGCTCTAGGCATAAGCGACATAAGCGGTTGCTTAAGGCCCCCGGCCGATAGGGGAACTCAGTTGGGGTCTCAACTGTTGAGAGTTAGAATAGTAGAATACACAAGGTGCAATCTCGACATTTGGTTGTGCATCAGCAGTTTTTCTCATGTTATGTCAGTCACTGACAGTCACTCAATTAGCACATGTCAGCTATTTCTTTTAGATTGTTAAGTTAGTCTAGCCAGCTATCTAAACTTGTAGTAATCATAGTCAAATTATCAACCGGACACGAAGGGCACTTGCCCAAGGGCCCTGACTTTCAGGGGGCCCCCAATGATTTTGCTAGTCAATCTCACTCAGATATCATATTAACATGACATAAGTCATGGCAAAATGTGTAGAATTGCATGAAATTAACTCTACAACTATACATTTTTTCTCTTCGCTATTCAAAAACAATTTGCTTAGGGCCCCCAAAAGGCTAGGGCCGGCCCTGATCATTCATTACTCATGAGACTTTCTCTCTCTCCTCAGTAACACTGTCAGACAGATATGACTGATGAGATTTAGGTACCTTTCCGAGTTCTCCTGCTTAAGCTTTTAGCTTATACACCATTTCATCATACACCTAAACTAGAGTAGAGTGTAGTTTGATTCAGTACTGGTAAATTTGCTAGGATCAACTGAGCCTTGGTAGACAGGTACATTGTATAGTAGGCAATCATTGAAACCAAGTTAGGTTTCACAACATTTAAATCCTAGGAAATCAAACAGTAGTGTGTCATACAGAGCTCGTCAGCGTGTTGGTAGCTACTGTAAGCAGGGTTGGGTAAGACACATTGTTAGATAGCGATCAGCCGAGACACCACTGTACTGTCAGAGAGCTGTCAGCAGACGCCAGCTGCTGCAACGCCCATGAACACACACACACACACACACACACACACACACACACACACACACACACACACACACACACACACACACACACACACACACACATTAGCCAGTGTGTTACCTCCAGCACCTCCAGGATGATGGAGGCGGAGGCAGAGACTAAGGGCTCATTAGTCTTTGGGCCCTACTACACTCCCTCACACTGTGACCTCTCCATCCAGAGGAGTCAGTGGCCTTGCTGTAGACATCCGGCTCAGAGGCAGCCCAGAGACAGGGGAGGTCACCGCTCTGGACCTGCACCAGCCTGTTAGGGGGACCTGAACAACACACATATAAATCAAACTTGATTTGCTCTGACTGGCATGATATCGCATGCTGTCACGTGCTGTCATCAGCTCTCATAAACACTGGAGAGAACCACTCCTCTGATAGAAAGTTACCACAAACACAACACTGTTTTTATTTAGTTTGTTTTATAGTGTGGGATTCTTTTAAGATGTAACATAAAGCTCATTGGACTTCTATATCACACCACATCACACTGTGCTCGTTCCTCTTACAATAATCGCTCAATTTCATGCTCTATTAAGCATCTTTGACCACATATAATAAACAAATGTATTTCCTACATTACTTAACATTGATAAGATCCTGTGAGTGGCAACCATGCTGAATTAAAGTCTGCAACGTTTTGAACTGCTGCTCTGTGGGATCCTCTTATGCCGGGGTGTCTTACAGCTGGATGGCTTATGATAAGTGAAACACACACATGCAGAGAGACAGAGGGGGAAGATAGAGAGGGAGGAGGGAGGGAGATAGAGGAGAGAGAGGGCAGAGAAAGGGTCAGAGACAGAGACAGATAAATATTTAGTTTCTCCTGTGCTGAAGGTCTCTAAATGATGAAAGGATAAGGAGTGATATTTCAATTTCTCTATCATTGTCAACCATTGCGTAGTAATACAGTACTTGTATCATTCCCAGCTCACACCAGCACACTGGCAGGCCAAAAAATAAGAAATTAATTCAAAATATGTTTTATTATTTATTAATGTACATGCTAGGGCAGGTTTATTATAATGGGTGTATTAAGAATAATTTAAAAAATCCAATTAATTCATGTCTTGACTTGAATGATGCCTTATATGTTAATATTTTTAGACAATGTTCATGTTTTGTTATGGGAACAGGTTTGTAGAGGTATATTATAACCTAGCTAGACAGAGAGTCATGTGGTAGTAGACTGAGTCTCCTGCAGTATATATTGTGTGTGAATTGTGCAATTTTATTTCAGAAATTAAGAAACAAAGGCCATAATGACCTGTGTGCCAGTCCTGATCCAGATGACTGTTTTGGGCACAGCCCCCTCATGGACGACCGTTTCGGCAAACTAAGCGAAGAGAGTGATTTAATGTACAAGCGCTGTGGTGTAAGTACTTCCTCCATCTCTTGCCATTTTTTGTTGATTCCTGTTTTTATGTTGATGTCCACTACAGGCGCTAAACAAGAAAGAACACAGAGGCTGTGATAGCCCGGACCCCGATGCCTCATATGTCCTCACCCCTCACACAGAAGAAAAGTATAAAAAAATTAATGAGGAGTTTGATAATATGATGAGAAATCATAAAATCGTAAGTAAATGCAATGTTTTTGCTGCTTGGCTTTGTGGCACAAAGGATTTTGACCTTTTGGTTTTTATTTGTTCTTATTTTTTTTCATTATCCCACCCTGCAACCTCTGTCAACTACTATAAGCAAACATGGACTATTCAAGCATAACCTTTTTTCCGTTCATTGGAAGTGTAATTGTTTATTTTGTTTATTTGTACTGCAACTTATATTTTGGCACACCCTGATAAGATCACATTGTTATGATAGGTTGAACCTTTTCAAAGCTCTATTGAAATGATCACATTTCTCCACATTATTTGAAACATTTGAAAACTATATGAAAAGGAAAGTGCATTTTTTTATTCCAGAGGAGAAGCTTCTTTATTATCAAGACACATTTCCCCCTGGAAAAAGGGGAAGATCCCTCAATTTCTTCCCACTCTGGTTTAAATATTGACTGGTTCTGTAGCTTTGGTGATTTATGTGTTTTTTCCCAAAACCCATTTTTCACCCACAAGCAGATGTGAAAATTGAATCTCTTTTAGTCCCACAGTGCCCAGATCATGTGACTGGGGAGATTTTAAAAATGTATCTCCCCTTTGCTCATTGTATGGTCTGTCCTGGTTCCCCATCTCCTAGTGGGGCGTCCTCCATTCACCTGGGCAAATCATACACTCTTAGAAAAAGGTGCTATCTAGAACCTAAAATGGTTATTTGGCTGTCCCCATAGGAGAACCCTTTGAAGAACCCTTTTGGGTTCCATGTAAAACCCTCTGTGGAAAGGGTTCTTCATGGAACCCAAAAGGGTTATACCTGGAACCAAAAAGGGTTATTCAAAGGGTTCTCCTATGGGGACAGCTGAATAACCATTTTAGGTTCTAGATGGCATGTGTATGATTTTCCCAGGTGAATTGAGGACGCCCCACTAGGATATGGGGAACTAGGAGAGATCATACAATGAGCAAAGGGGGAGATTTACAAAAAAGTGTACAGTCCTCCTAAAGCACAACATCAGTGGACTATCACTGTGTATTCTCCACTCGTTCATCAAGCTACTACCATTACACAGAGCTTTACCTTGAGACAATAGTGATCTTATTGCAGGTGGCAATCATAGAATCCTGCATAAAGTATAGTGCTTCAACTGTTGTTTTCTCTCTAATTCTGACATGGAGAGCACCACTGTTTGCAATTAACACACTAATAATATCACTAACTGACTGCCTCACTGGACTATGCTGTGAATGGAGTGGTCTCACTGTCACCAGTCACTCTCACACACTCTGTGGATAGTCAGCACTGCACAGACATGGACTAGAGTAATAGAAACGTCAAGTGATTAAAACTCATAATATATGTTTTTATCCAAAATGCTTTCATATTTTTGGAAATTACACAATTACACTATCCTGATTAAAAGAGAAAACGTTGTTCTGCAGTGCTGACTATTACAATGCAAGACTGAACACCTGGTACAAGGCACTGCTAATGTGCATGTTTTGGAATATGTTATGTTTTCAGTGATGTGTAATGTTTTTATATAGCAAAATGATTGTTTTGTGCATTTACAATAATATAGTGTTCATTTGTACATTTTATGCATTATTATTTATAAATATATTATACAAGCTTATGACAGCATCATATGGAATACAGCAATTTTTCAGATTCCACTTTGTAGCCTATTATTCAAGACAGTTATTGTTTAATCCCATTACAAACCAAAGGTATTTTTATTTGTGGTCATTTCTTGGCCTTTCACACTTAATGCAATGTTAACAGAAGTGAATGTGTAAGAGTGTAAGATACGCCTTTATAAGCAACCTGGATTAGGAACATGAACAACTTGCCAGCTGCAGCATAGAGCTGTTTGTTTGCGATAAGTTAATAGGACTGCTCTGTTAACCGTACCAATATGATTGATGTGGCACCATCACAGATGCCATCTCTGCCGTCTCCTTCCCCCTGTGACCCTCAGCCCAGTGCCATGTCTTTAATTCTCCCCATGTCTGTGTGTTTCCCTCCTGTAGCCCACAGCGCTGCCCCAGCAGAACTTCTCCATGCATGTGGCAGTACCAGTCTCCAACCAGAACACCATGTCCTACAACCCAGGAGGCTCCATGAGCAGCCATGCCCTGGCCCAGGCCACAGCCTCTCTGAGCGACAGCGGGATGCTCTCTCCCCCTCAGGCCTCCTTACACAGGAACGTGGGCTCCAGCGGGGGCCAGCAGAGGCCCCCTAGTCAAGGCAATGCAGGTCAGTACTGTTACATTTCACTGTTTTTTTCTCTCTCACTACAACTGACCATGGTGGTAAAGATTCAGGTCTTTATCCACCAATTTCACTCTTGATCTTTCAGATATAACTTGCTCGATATTTGCCTGATATGTGATATGTTTGCAATGGGCCTATTTGCATCTAGTTTATTATGAGAAAAAGTCCCACTTAATTGAAGGGATTTTTCATGACTCAAGCAAAGGTCCAGTGGTGTCAGTGAGCTCATATTACCACTTGTTTACCACTGCTGTTTATAGTAATGCCTGCACTATGACTCATGTTTCACAACTTTTAAGACTTGTATTGCTCAGAGGAAGTGGGATGAACTAGTAATGTTTTGACACCATAGCTACATCCTCTGTGTTGTGCAGAGTGGTCTGTGCATTCAGCCAGCCCATGCCTCGGCAGGATGCAGAGTTCTCTATGGTAAAATTAGCACTATGCTTGAAGTCCATCTGCATTGGAAATAAGAAATGTATGGGTTTTATGTTCATTTCAGTCTCATAAAAGGTGGTAACCACAACTGCAGCATGGGTAAAATACAATGTCTCTATTCTCTGGGGAGCCACTGAAACAACAGGGCGGTCTTTAGCCTTACTGCCACCTCATGCTTACAGCTGGATTTATGTGCACTGTGCCTGTAAAGTAGATTCACAGGTAAATAATATTTTGTTGTTCAGCTCCGTACTAGGTTATAACTTCAATATGTATACAAAAGCAAGGCTGATGGTGTTGTGGTCAGAGTACTAAAGTGTGGACCTGAGAATGTCCCTTCACACAAACTGTGGGATACTGGCATTGTTGCATTAAAGAAAACACTTTGACTTAGGGCCATTACTTGACAACTTTGACTTGGATGACTGCACAAAGTAAGGACAGGGCCAATGGCCCACTCGCCATAGAACCAGAGAGAATGCATTCCCACTCACTGTTAGCTCCAAGTAGTGGTAGAAGTGATGGAAGTTGTTCAAAGCTGGATGTTGTTTCCATGTATTCCACAATTAAATCCTAAACATTTCCAGACACCTCATATTATGCTCTACGGCAGTGGTTAACTGAGAGAATGACCCCAGCCTCTTTGGAGGGATTGAGTGCTGCTCTTCCCTGATCCCACGCTCCCAGCTGAAGGATGCAGATGGTTAATAATATCATTTCATGCATCTCATTAGGTGGCATGCTGGGTAGGACAGACCTGGCAGTGCCAGCGTGGCGTGAGCACCAGCCCAGCGAGTATAGTAGGTCCTCCAGGACGAACTCATTAGGTCTCTGTGGCTCTGCCCAATTGGCCCTCACCTCACTGTCTGCATACATGTACATGTGCCTGCGACATGGTCAACGACGGCTTTTGTTAGATTCTTGGTCATTTATTGCATGCGAGGGGACTGTATTTGTTGTCTGTCTGTGAGTATTGGTAACATTGAAGGCAGTTAGTTAACATGGTCTTCGTATACACGTTAGAGTGATGGGACACTGTCCTTACTGTATAGCAAGACAGCCAAGCTGAGTGTCAGCATGTTCTGTTTTATCCTCAGAACCCAGACAGAGATGCTGTATGTTCAGTATATTATTCAGACTGCAGCTAGACAGGTTGGTGAAGTGATTGCATCCAAGGCTCCAAGAGTCAGTCCAAGAGGGACATATCTTTTTTGCCAATGTGTTCCAAAGAAGAGGCGTAGATGGTTGAGTACAGTAACAGAGGAAAATGGCAGCAGCTGCTAATGTCTGGCCCGCTGCTATGGTAACACACAATCAAACCACCAAGGACACCAGGAAGGTCACTCGTCCATCTGTTCCTCCTGGATAGTAACAGATCAAGACTGCCTCTTGTTCTCAATCGGCTGCTCACTTTGTGTCGCTCCAAACATGTTTGTTGTACAAGTTATATTAGGGGTTTACGGATGACAACAGTCACTATATATATTCTTAGGGCTATACCTTCATTGTGAGCTTGTTTGTGCCTGAAAGGGTTAACATATTAAAAGGTAGTGTTGAGGCGGCGGATTCTCTTTGGAAGGTAAATAAACACAGTGTTTCCTTTAAGACAGACACCTCCATCCCACCCTCCCTCCTCCAGTTTCCTTCCCTCTATTGACAGGTGCATCTGTTTTTCCCAGTACCATGGCAGCCCTTATATGGCTGGAGAGAGCCTGCAAGATGTCTAGGCCAGCAGCACCCTGGAGGTATTCCGGCCATGACATCCCTCTAAGTCCTCTGTACACAATGACCGGACAGCCTGTCATGGCTGCTATGTGCTGAGTGAGAGGCAGAGGCAGGTGGACGTTAACCCTCTCCCTACCAGACAGGCCACTGTGTCGCATATGATACAATATTATGATAGTAGTGAAAATACATTATGCAATCAACAGAAGCTGTATTTAAAGCTATACATTAATTATGTCCTGCATCGTGAGCAGAGACATGCTGGGTATAAGTTTGAGTCTGTGGTTGGTGAGGTGATTCAATGCTCTCAGTCAGGGCTAGGTGAAATGTTTGGTCTGTCTGTATTTGGTCTTTGGCGGTGCTCGGAGCCCTGTCCCTGTGCTGGGTAAGCGGTAAGGTTGTGGGGTGCTGTGCCGTCCCCATGCCAAGGGAGGGGTGTCAGCCGTTGGCACACTGGCAGGAGACTGCAGCTGTTGTTTGTACCAAACTGGGTAGAACAGCAGAGACTGCTTGGAAGAGAAACCTCTCTCTCCAGTGCTGCCGTCAGATGGCCATTCCTTACATAGCTCTGATTTTTCACAAGCAGCAGCTATAGGGAGAGGAGAGGCCTTTTGCACCAGTTCTGTCTTGTTGCTCGCTCTCTTTTCTCCTCCGGTGGTGTGGCTTGATATCGCCACTAAGAGGGGCTTACAAGCACGGAGAATGTCCTGGAAAATGCTCCGGATCACTGATTAAGCCTAGGGAATGGCGGCACTGATCCAAACCCTAATCCCATCTGATATGCCAGCTCTTGTCCTCAGAAAGAAAACTCTTTCTTCATATTGACATGCACCGGCAAAGTGCAAATGAATCATTTTGTCCATGGACATGACATGGCATGTCATGCACCTTAGCTTTTCTATCTTCCACTGGAGCTTGAAAGCTTTTTGGAGCCATTTTCATAGTTTCCTTTCTGCAGCAGTGTGAAGGAGGTCTTTATCACATGTGATATGAATTGAGTATATGTGTTCATTCAGAATGAACATGAGTCTGGTTTCAATCTGAGACCATAACAGGATTTGGCAGCTGACAAACTAACACATGAAAGTGTGTTTCTGTTAATACACCACATCTTACGTTGAGCAGAAATTCTATTTTCTATTTTCATACAGTCATTTCACTCCTAGAACATTACAGGTAACTCGGGTAAATGAGGCTTTGCAGAGGGGTGATGTTCATTTAGCACACGAGTTGCATAAAAGCCAGTGTTTAAGATTCAATAAGGGGGAAAGGGCTCCACTATTCTTCCTGCACTCTTAGAAAAAAAGGCGCTATCTAGAACCTAAAAGGGTTATTTGGCTGTCCCCATAGGAGAACCCTTTGAATAACCTTTTTTGGTTCCAAGCAGTTAGAGCCCTTTCTACATAGAGTTATAAGGGTTATCCTATGGGGACAGTCGAATAACCCATTTGGAACCCTTTTTTCTAAGTGTGGAGAGGTCTCACAGTGGGTCAGTCCCAGTGCTCTGCAGACATGAATCATGATAAATAAGATTATGTCTGAAGAGCAGTGGGCTCCACAAGGTAGTCTCGGTTTAAGTGATCATGACATAAGCCTAGTGAGGGTCAGAATATTCACTCACAACATACAGTATTCTGGTTTTGCAGGCAAATTGTGAAAGCTGTATTTTAATTCTATATTTTCAGAGAGCAGTTTTTGATAGCAATGAATTTTCAATTGTTCTATCTAAAATGAGCCATCTGTTTTGGCTCTCATTCAAATACCTAAACCTTGGCTCACGAGAAGACTATGAACTTCTTATGCTTTGCTCAAACATAAATGATATGGATGTAATTAAAGCAACTCTGTGATATCATTTTTACACCTAATTAGCAATCCAATGTGGAATTCTTTGTGTGATACAGTCACACTCCTCAATACATTAGAGATGCTTTGCACACAGTTCCACTCTTTCCATGCTCTCTCTTTTCCCACTCTGTTGAGCATTAAGAATGAGAGCTTGTCAGAATGTAAGGGATGTGACTCTTCTCTCTGTTATGCAATATGCCTGCAAGCTGTGCAGATTCCTTCATTAATACTGGAGAGTTACAGGCTCTTAAAGAGCGATTGCAAGGGCTGTTTGTGTGTCGAAAAGAGTCTATCTGAACATATTATTCCTCTATTTCTTGAGAACCGTGGAAGCCGTTGGTGTTCCCAGTGGATTACCACTTCCAATGTGTGTTTTTTCCATTAAGAAAGCATTCTAAACTGTATTTGTTTTTATACTAAGGGGCCCTCCAAGTGAAATATGGATTGGAGTTCTTGGAACAACTAACTAGTGAGTGAGTGACTGCACTGCAGTCTCACAAACTGTGGCCCTGCTCTCTGTTTCCTGAGCCAAAACAATACCAGAGCACCCGCTAAAGAGTTTCTGTCCAGGCTCATTAATGGATGCTATAATTAGAATTTGCTCTCTTTTCCACTTAATCTATTAGAGGCTCTTGATTCACACCCATTAATCTTTTCTCGTTCATGTATGCATATTCTCTTCCCTCACTGAGACTCAAGTTCCTCTGGTGTTTGCCTAATGACAGTCAGGTCTGGTCAGTGCTGCATCACTTGCTCTTCAATGCATTCTAGTGAAAGCACAATTTAGTCAACAGAGTTTATTTTGACTTACGTTCAGATGAATACTAAATGTTAGAGTGGTACATACAACCTCTTATGTAACCCTGCTCCCACGGTGGGCAGTGTTAATTATTTACAACAAAGAGTCTATTTATTTACCCAAACACAGAAACTAAACATTCTACATGTTCTAGGTTCATTCACTGATGATTTGATGACAGAAGAACCATTCTGTTTCAGATAACAAACAGAAAACAAATCCGCAAAAATGTTTCTGCCAAAAGGCTTGTGTGATCATGTGATCTCTGCACGTGATCATTTTCTTGTTTTAAGATGTGCTGTAAGGTAAAAATGGTTGTTCTGTCTTGTAATAGTGCCCCATTTAGAGACTGTTTTAAATGGATACTGGCACCAATTATGTCTAAGTCTTTTGCTAATCAGCAATTTCAGGCATTATGCTCTGCACAAATGTACTTTACAATTCTGCATGTTGCTTTTGTGCACAACTGGCTGTAGGCTATATACAATTAGCTTCAAGGAGCATGTTTTTTCTCCGTTAGGCCATAGTTACTGCCTGCAATGCCTACACATTCACGTTTGTGAAATAACAGATTTTCATTTTGAACTGATTCCCTGCGATGATACCATAGGCCTCTGATCATTATCAAAGAGCTGTGTTGCTGCACCTTTTACAGTCAGGACCCTCCCCCTCCCAAACACCAGCCCAGATATTGCCTCGCTTGATTTGCCCACCCACCCCCACAACTGTTTCTGAGTAGAGCCGAGAAGAGAAGAAACTTCTGTGTGAAAATACAAAACCAGGGTTTGCCTTTCCAGAAAATAAATAATCATAATTTACACAGACTTATCACATTTTTGATAGTGAAAATACTTTCTTTGCAACTGTTGCTGACCCATGTGGTACTTGTCCTCCAATGAACCTATATTTATGTTAAAGTATTGGATTTTTTTGTCATAAGCAATAGCAGTGTCTGCTATTTGTAGGGTTTGGGTAATTTACATAGCTAATTATATGCGTGCACCTTCGATTTTGCAGCAGTCAATTCAAGTATAAGATGAAAGCGAGTGCTGGGAGTGATAGTAGCTTGCGTTGCATATGCTGTTGATTCAGCTGTGACATACCATTGTCTCATAACTGTTTATTTGGCCGTGTATTGTGGGGGTTCTTATCTGTAGCTAGGGAGGTGATTGTTCCATTATGTCACTAGGTCCTGCTTATTCTGCAGCCTGCTTGTGTTTCACTGGGCTCTATAGAACACAATGGAGTACTGAGTTACTTGTTGAAGTGTGACACTGATCTGTTGATGAAATACTAGATAGCATTGATTCTTTCATCCCTCTGTTTCTCATCATTTTCTAGATTCTGTTATCCATTTTTTCAATGTTCTGATTCATCAGAATAGTTATAGATGTTGCATTAAAAAGAGATATAAACTGCGATTGCAAATACTCTCACATTAATTTCATAACATAGCATTTCATAGCATATATAGCTCACATCAGCCACAGTTTATTTTACCTTTATTTAACTAGGCAAGAGCCGCTTAGACCGCTGCGCCACTCAGGAGCATGGTGTGACTTGTACTGTACTGGTCCTTCTCCTGATCAGCTCTGAGATGGTGTCATTGCCCTGTGCCTGCTTTCACTTTGTTTTAGAACGGTTGCCACAGGAAGTGACTCTGGGTGTGGGGTAAACCACCCTTATGACTCATTGTTCTGTAGATCTACCATTAGAGTAAAGAAGAAATGACAATCCACACATACGTATATAGTACTACGAATACAGTACAATGAGTACATAGTCTTGCATACTGTAGCAAGACATAGTATTCTCATATTGTCACACAAAAAAAGTACCATAACAATCCTTTAGCAAACAGTTTTACCCAACTGTAATGGCTTGCTATTCCCATCTTAAACAGCAGTCACAGTACATTTGTTAAGTGAATTACTCCTCATCCCAGGATACAAGGAGTTGACTTTGATATCGTCACTCACAGCAAGAATGAAAGGCTCATCAATTCTGAAATTGACGTTCTATTTTGGTAAATGTGCAGGATAATTATCTGAGACTATTAAAACTTCCCAGAGGGTTGGGAACACTTAACGTTGCGTGCCGTGGCAGGCTATGCAGCTTTGAAATGGTGTGTTGGAGATTTGGCAGATGACTGTTGTTGTAGTGTCTCACAGTCCCATGACGGCTTCTGTTTCTGTGTCTCTCTGCAGGGAACGGTTTTGTCAACCCTAGGGGCTCTCCGGGACTCCTTGGCGCAACCAGCGGGAACGGCCTGGGGAAAGTCATGCCCACCAAGTCTCCACCGCCCCCTGGAGGGAACATGGGGATGGGCAACCGCAAGCCAGACCTGAGAGTGCTGATCCCCCCGTCCAGCAAAGGCATGATGCCCCCACTGGTGAGTAGCCTACACTGCACATGAGCAGACTGGTAGAACACTGCGTGTCTCTACCTCAGGGCTGCTCCGATTTTGGCTTCTTTGTCCCTCACATGTGTGCAACAGAGGGAGTTTTATTTTCCCCTCACTGGATTGTGATGGTATCATTGTGGTATAGCGTGCAATGTTAGAAATGTTTTGGAGCTGGAGAAATGGTCCTCCTTGCCTGAGGATATCAGTTCTGTCTGAGGACCTCTTGCTTTATTCCTGGTGGGACAGGTTTACGTGCAGCCTAGATTCACTTACATCAACAGCAATCAGCGAGTGGCATTCGTTCTCATGCTGCATTTTTATTTGATCACCTACATTTACATTTACATTTACGTCATTTAGCAGACACTCTTATCCAGTGCGACTTACAAATTGGTGCATTCACCTTATAGCCAGTGGGATAACCACTTTACAATATGTTTATTTTTATTTTTATGGGGGGGTGGGGTAAGGGGTGGGGTAGAAGGATTACTTTATCCTATCCCAGGTTTTCCTTAAAGAGGTGGAGTTTCAAGTGTCTCCGGAAGGTGGTGAGTGACTACGCTGTCCTGGCGTCGTGAGGGAGCTTGTTCCACCATTGGGGTGCCAGAGCAGCGAACAGTTTTGACTGGGCTGAGCGGGAACTGTGCTTCCGCAGAGGTAGGGGGGCCAGCAGGCCAGAGGTGGATGAATGCAATGCCCTCGTTTGGGTGTAGGGACTGATCAGAGCTTGAAGGTACGGAGGTGCCGTTCCCCTCACAGCTCCGTAGGCAAGCACCATGGTCTTGTAGCAGATGCGAGCTTCAACTGGAAGCCAGTGGAGTGTGCGGAGGAGCGGGTTGACCTGAGAGAACTTGGGAAGGTTGAACACCAGACGGGCTGCGGCATTCTGGATGAGTTGTAGGGGTTTAATGGCACAGGCAGGGAGCCCAGCCAACAGCGAGTTGCAGTAATCCAGACGGGAGATGACAAGTGCCTGGATTAGGACCTGTGCCGCTTCCTGTGTAAGGCAGGGTCGTACTCTCCGAATGTTGTAGAGCATGAACCTACAGGATCGGGTCACCGCCTTGATGTTAGCGGAGAACGACAGGGTGTTGTCCAGGGTCACGCCAAGGCTCTTTGCACTCTGGGAGGAGGACACAACGGAGTTGTCAACCGTGATGGCGAGATCATGGAACGGGCAGTCCTTCCCCGGGAGGAAGAGCAGCTCTGTCTTGCCGAGGTTCAGCTTGAGGTGGTGATCCGTCATCCACACTGATATGTCTGCCAGACATGCAGAGACAGGAGCTAGACTCTGGACGGTGACAAGAAAACAAACAACACAGCTATACTGTATCTCTGAGGTCCAGGGGCCACATTTATAACCGTTGCATACATTTTACAGTAAATAATAACCGTTGCGTACATTTTACAGTAAATAAAAATACATGAATTATAACACTGCCTGACGACGCCCTTATTTGCTGTATACTTTGGAAGTATTGGAATTAGACCAAGACAGTATCTAAAGGAAATAGCAATGGCCAAAGTAATCAAATGTCTTTGGAGCTGTTGGCAGAATGTTTTCTTTTGCAGTAACATTTGCTGTATCTGACCATTTCTGAAAGAGAAAAACTATTGCAAATTGTTGTGGACCTGTAAACAGATTCAATTTAATTCAATACTTTTTTGCATTTACTTTTCCCCGAACCTAAATATCCTGCACTGACCGCGAATTCTGATACATTGTCTATTTGGGCCTACAATAGGCCTACTTACAGTGATAGCCTACACACTTCAATGCAACAGATCAACCATCTGTTCACCTGTTCAATTCTACTGTATGTTATAAACCGCGCTCCCTTTCGGATGCATAGAGCAAAAACTACTGAAATTATAATAGCCCAATTATCTAATAGGCCCAATTATATGAGAGATGCGCATGGTCATTTGTTGTACAGCTACTTCGGTATTATGAACTCATCATGGCCACAGAAAGAGAGGAATTTATTCTGCAATGGTTATGATGTATGTACAGTTGAAGTCGGAAGTTTACATACACTTCGGTTGGAGTCATTAAAACTCGTTTTTCAACCACTCCACAAATTTCTTGTTAACAAACTATAGTTTTGGCAAGTCGGTATGGACATCTACTTTGTGCATGACACAAGTACTTTTTCCAACAATTGTTTACAGACAGATTATTTCACTTATAATTCACTGTATCACAATTCCAGGGGGCAGAAGTTTACATACACTAAGTTGACTGTGCCTTTAAACAGCTTGGAAAATTCCAGAAAATTATGTCATGGCTTTAGAAGCATCTGATAGGCTAATTGACATAATTTGAGTCAATTGGAGATGTACCTGTGGATGTATTTCAAGGCCTACCTTCAAACTCAGTGCCTCTTTGCTTGACATCATGGCAAAATTAAAAGAAATCAGCCCAGACCTCAGAATAAAAAGTGTAGACCTCCACAAGTCTGGTTCATCCTTGGGAGCAATTTCCAAATGCCTGAAGGTACCACGTTCATCTGTACAAACAATAGTACGCAAGTATAAACACCATGGGACCACGCAGCCGTCATACTGCTCAGGAAGGAGACGCGTTCTGTCTCCTAGAGATGAACGTACTTTGGTGCGAAAAGTGCAAATCAATGCCAGAACAACAGCAAAGGACCTTGTGAAGATGCTGGAGGAAACAGGTACAAAAGTATCTATATCCACAGTAAGACGAGTCCTATATCGACATAATCTGAAAGGCCGCTCAGCAAGGAAGAAGCCACTGCTCCAAAACCGCCATAAAAAAAGCCAGACTACGGTTTGCAACTGCATATGGGGACAAAGATCGTACTTTTTGGAGAAATGTCCTCTGGTCTGACTAAACAAAAATAGAACTGTTTGGCCATAATTACTTTTGTTATGTTTGGAAGAAAAAGGGGGTTACTTGCAAGCCGAAGAACACCATCCCAAACGTGAAGCACGTGGGTGGCAGCATCATGCTGTGGGGGTGCTTTGCTGCAGGAGGTACTGGTGCACTTCACAAAATAGATGGCATCATGAGGAAGGAAAATGATGTGGATATATTGAAGCAACATCTCAAGACATCAGTCAGGAAGTTAAAGCTTGGTCGCAAATGGTTCTTCCAAATGGACAATGACCCCAAGCATACTTCCAAAGTTGTGGCAAAATGGCTTAAGGACAACAAAGTCAAGGTATTGGAGCGGCCATCACAAAGCCCTGACCTCAATCCTATAGAAAATGTGTGGGCAGAACTGAAAAAGCGTGTGCGAGCAAGGAGGCCTACAAACCTGACTCAGTTACACCAGCTCTGTCAGGAGGAATGGGCCAAAATTCACCCAACTTATTGTTGGAAGCTTGTGGAAGGCTACCTGAAACGTTTGACCCAAGTTAAACAATTTAACGGCAATGCTACTAAATACTAATTGAGTGTATGTAAACTTCTGACCCACTGGGAACGTGATGAAAAAAATAAAAGCTGAAATAAATAATTCTCTCTACTATTATTCTGACATTTCACATTCTTAAAATAAAGTGGTGATCCTAACTGACCTAAAACAGGGAATTTGTACTCAGATTAAATGTCAGGAATTGTGAAAAACTGAGTTTAAATGTATTTGGCTAAGGTGTATGTAAACTTCCGACTTCAACTCTATATAAATGAAATAAATTCTACTCAAGAAATTTGACATTACAGTATTCAGACGTAGCCTACAATTGTCAATGGAAAAGGTGAACCGTCTGTTCTACCGTTAAGTTAAACTGCGCTTCGGATCGGATCGCATAGAGCAAAATAGGCTAGTAGACCTACTTGAAATAGCTTATCTATTTACTACTGTGAAGCGGGTCCAATTAAATGAGAGATGGGACGAATGGTAGCCTATCCTAACCTGTTGTAGGCCTATAGGCTATTTTGCGAGTATGAAAAGGTGAGGAATTTATTCTGCAATGATCATGGAAATTAAATAAATAATAGGAAATGGATGCCTATTTCTAATTATTTTGGAATGCATCTAATTGCATCTTGTTATTTTATTTAGCTACCTTTTTGTTATGAATAAGAGTGTCATCATACAGTATATTCCCCATTTGCACAAGGCTACTATAGGCTACTTTTGCCTTCTTGCAATGCAATACTTCAACCACTAGAAACTGTGCGTAGGCCTACGCATGGTCTAAAGTTTGTGGGAGGATAAGCACATTCTCAAGTCAAGTTACGTTTTTATAAATGCCAACTTTTGTGTGAAAACTGTTTTGGGGCATATTTTGTGCGTACGCAACGTTTATAAATTAGGCCCCAGGTGCCTTAACAGTCACTCAATTATAAATATTGAAATTAGAGGCCCTCTCTAATTATTATAATTAATGTGCAGAGAGCTCTGACCACATTGAGCACCTGAGGCTACACTAGACTGCCATGGCCATAAATCTAAATGGGAAAAAAAGGTTTCAGAAATTAACCAGTCATTGACTCTTTCCAACCTACATGCTGGAGCTCTCAACAATGGGAGTTCCTCCAAGACACAGATGGCTTGTATGGTAAATATACCTAGGGTTACCATGGCGTGGGCACCCCGGATCCATCTACCAGCCTGGTGCAGGGGATCAACATGTGTGTGTTACCCTGCCAACATCTGGAAGTGGTAGAGCTCCCAAACCGAACCAAACCACAGAGCTTCCAGTGTTGGGGAGTAGTGAACTACATATAGTTAAACTAGTAATTTAACTACATTTTGCAGTAGCTTGGTGGTAGTTGAACTAAATTCAAATCTAGGTAGGTTTTTCAGTAGTTAATTACTGTTTTGCCATGTAGCGGTGTAGCTAACTACTGGAACTACACACTACTTATTTTGCAAAAATGTAATATGGGTGAAGTAGTCATTTAGCAGACGCTCTTATCCAGAGCAACTTACAGTTAGTGAGTGCATACTGGCCCCCCATGGGAATCAAACCCAAAACCCTGGCGTTGCAAACGCCATGCTCTACCAACTGAGCTACATCCCTGCCGGCCATTCCCTCCCCTACCCTGGACCAATTGTGCTTCGCCTCATGGGTCTCCTGGTCACGGCCGGCTACGACAGAGCCTGGATTCGAACCAGGATCTCTAGTGGCACAGCTAGCACTGCGATGCAGACTAGGTCTAATAAACAGTGCCTTAGACCACTGCGCCACTCGGTAGTTCGTCATTTTGAGCGGCATCAGACCTTCCTAATTCTCACTTGAAACATTGTTTTTGTGTTTAATAGACGAAATTACACATTCTGTTAACATATGACCACAAAGTTATTTTTTAATTTTTTTATGTATAGTCTTTGACATTTTAGATTTACATATGGTAATTTATCACAAAGTAGTTTAGATGTGATGAACTACTTTTTAAAAGTGAAACTAAACTATATTTTCTTTAGGGGTAGCATTAGTGTAGCTTAACTTCTTTCAGTGTGAAGTAATTGGTAGCTTGGTAAACTATCTTCTCAGAGAAGCTTCCCCAACACAGAGATTCACACATCACAAGGACAAAGCAATTAAGGCTGCGTTTAGACAGGCAGCCCAATTCTGATATTTTTTCCACAGATCTTTTCACATCAGGTATTTTTCAGAGCTGATCTGATTGGTCAAAAGACCAATTAGTGAAATAAGAATCAATATTGGGCTGCCTGTCTAAACGCAGCCTTAGAGTGTTCGTTTTTAGAACTGTTGAGCAGGATTACCATGGTTCAGACAGAGAGATTCTAGAAGTCCTGAACGTGTCAGTAGTATTGAGACAAAAGGGAGGGCCTGCTCGGCTCTGCTCTGTCAGTGTAAACGCAGCGTTCCAGATGGGTTAAGGCAGCGTTGGGGGCTGGCAGGTCTGCAGACAGCCTGTCATTAGGCCATAATGGTATTAAATTAATCACATCTCGGTGTGACAGAGTGGGGATGAAGGCTTAATCAGGGGCCCAGAGTGTGAGCCAGATAATATCTTGTCGCCCTTATCGTGTCTTCCTGCCGCTATTGATTGAGTGTGGGTATTATTAAGACAGTCCTGGCCTAGGCACAGTTAGTCCCTCAGCACAGGGAAGATGGAAGAGGGGCTTCCAGTTAGCCTCTTGTCTAGCAGAACAGTAGGCCTCACATACAGAGACCCCTGTAATCTACTAGGTGAAACAAAAATGCGCAATATGCAGGTTAAGTAGTACTGTATCAATGTATTACATTGACTTGTACCTTGTTGACTACTCTACATGATAGATAGCTACAAAGATTTGATTACATTACAGTTTGCATTGAAATGACCTAACTAGTCAGTTTTAGTTTCTTGAACACAGTTTTATTTAAAGTAAGTGGAGAGCCTTCCAATTGAGTCAAGCTATAGCCTTAGGTTTGATGATGTAATTAGATGGATGCATGAGAGGTTAAGTACTTATTCAATGTGAGTCCAAGTCATTAAGTGTGTTTGCTGACTTAAACCATTCTTGTTAGAGTGTCTTTAATAATAGACTCTAGTTGACCCATTTCGGTTTTACACCAGGAACCTTCTGAGTAGCAAATAGTGATGAGTCCAAAATGATAGGTCTTACTCTGAAATGGTCACAAACCCAAGCTAAAGTGTTATAACATGGTCATTTAGCAGACACTTTTATCCAAAGCATTGTACAGTATTGCCTTCCAAGTATTGCATTTGACAAAGACATTGCATTTGACAAAGAAAGTTTCGCATGGTAACATGAATAGCAGAGGACAGAGTGAATATTTAAGTCTAGAGGGCAGGCACGTCTAGATGACTTTTACTTGTGGAATACAATCAGGCAATTAGGACTTTGGTTTTCAACATCAAAAGGGTGACTGTAGAAGCCATTCTGACCTTCTCTTGTAACCCTGCCTCTCTTCTTCTCTTCTGTTGAGAGCAGTCGGAGGAGGAGAAAATGGATTTGGTGAGTTTTGAGAAATGCCTGAGAAAAATGGCTGAATGAACACACTTTCAATTTAATCGTAACAACAACAAGAGGCAAATAGATCAGTAATAACATGTTCAGGAGTGAAGGCTGTTCTTGAACTGTAGATTTGAATACCTTTAACTGAGTTTATTGAATTTATTTGATTGAATAGATTTTAATTTTATAAAGATTGAATTGAGAAATGAAGAGCAGCATCAGTGTTTCACTGCATGTCCTGAGCCTGGCAAGATGCCTCAACCTCTCTAATGTGCTGTGCACCGCCACTCCCATGTGTTGTTCAGGGAATGCTGAAATGTTTCTGTTTGTTTGTGAGTGAGCACACGATGCACACGTTCACTATAACTATTAGACAGGTCATTATCACTCTTGCGTCTTGTTACTTCAAGAAAGTAGTTTGGACACACATCGTTACATATAATTGTTTTAAACAAAAGGTTTTGTAATATGTATAACATTACAAAGTAACTTCCAAAGAACAGATTTCAAATCTTGGATTTTGTTCCTCATGGGGAGGGTTAGATTACTTCATTGTGGATTATGTCATTCTCAGAGAGGCTTGTTTTTGATGATGTCATTTGGTTGGAGAGAGTAGGAGCAGCAGATATTTGCAAGGAAGTTATCAAACTGTCATGATGCAATATTGCCTCAAATGAAACCCTCAGCTGCACTATATTACAAATTGCTACACCAGAGCTGCTCAGATCACCAAGTAATCATATGATATGATATGCTGTATGTGTTTGCTAGACTGATGCAGTAAAAGGTGTCTCTTGATGTTATTCCCACCCAGATCACAAACAGTCCTGCAGCTCACGCTAACTCTGCCATTTTGCCTCTCTTAGGTGCTAGCAAAATAGTCTCACTTTCACATCAGAACAAACAAGTGTAGCATTAAAAGTGGATATTAGAGGTACATAATGAACAGAGTACTATATTCTCAGAAGATTTGACTAAAGTATCCATAGATCCTAATGAGTGCCTACCATGATTGGCATTCTCAGAGCTTGTGTGGTCCTGTTGGTGCTGCATGAAGGCACTGTGTTGTGTGACTGTGTGCTTGGGACAGCATGCAGCCACTGCACCCAGGATTGTGATTTTATAGGAGATATGTAGTAGCTACTATATGTTATAAAAAATTAATGATCTGTCTCTTTCTGGCAGTACATCTGTTTTTTTCTTTTTTACACATCTTTGGTGGCCATTGAATTGACAATTTCTTTATACACAGTCTATAAACAATTTGAGTGCTGAAGAGCATTTGCCTTAGCTTGTAAGGACAACTGAATACAACAACGAGTGCATGTCAGCACAAATCCCACTATTGTGTATGGTAAAACGGTATTCTATTTAAAAACTATATTCCTGTTTCTGATTATCCATAATCCCTACATTGAATGTCTGTTTACAGATTTACCCACAAACATCACTCCATTTATCAATATTGGACAAAAAAAGTATTTAAGTCTTGATGGGATTTAGTTTTGTTTTTATTACACATATTGTCAAACAGTCATCATATTGAGCCTTGTTCGTATTATATGATGATACGAACAAGGCTCAATATGTTATCTGGATTGTAGCTACATGTGGGGCGGCAGGTAGCTTAGTGGTTAAGAGCATTGTGCCAGTAACCGAAAGGTCGCTGGTTCTAATCCCCGAGCCGACTAGGTGAAAAATCTGTCAATGTGCCCTTGAGCAAGGCACTTAACCCTAATTGCTCCTGTAAGTCGCTCTGGATAAATCTGCCAAATGACAAAAAAAAAAAAATGTGACATGAAGCTACAGTGCTACCTCTTGGTGGAAAGTAGTATTGCAACACATTTTCCATTGGTACATTATTATAGTCTTATCAAATTATGACTTAAAAAATACTGTACAGCTAATATATACACAACATATCTGTAACATGTTTTTTCTATATCAATTTACCATCTTGCACTTTGGGTTCACCACAGTAAGCCTTTACAGTGCCCTACAGGGTTGTTTTGTTCATTAAACCTGTTTTCTTTGTGCTGTTTACAGAACACCCACAGGATAAGCAGCTCCCAGTCCCAGCTACTGGCCACCCCAGTAGTGTCTGTCACCACCCCCAGCCTGCCCCCCCAAGGCCTGGTCTACTCAGGCATGCCCACCGGCTACAACACCGGTGAGTCTACCCCTCTGTCCCCTGCCACGTATGCCTCAGCGCTGCCTGACTGGCTCATACTGATTGGTCTGGTCTCCTGTGGTGAGAGGTGTAGCAGTGGGAGGAGGAGTGTGTGTAACTCACTGTTCTCTGGTGCTGTTGTTGTTGCAGAGTACTCCCTGAGCAGTGCAGAGATCTCCTCCCTACAGGGCTTCGGCGCTCCAGGCCTCTCTCTGGGCTCCATGTCGGCATGGCAACAACATCAACTGGGCCAGGCAGCTCTCAGCTCTTTGGTGTGAGTAACACACTAGCAAACACACACACATAAAGACACCCACACATTAATAGAATATTCAGTACACACATTATATACACATTCAAAGTACATAGCTTGTACTCCTTCAAATGTCAATTTTCCAACCACCACTCCAAGCACCTGATCTATGTCACTTTCCAAATGGCCACTGACCCCGTGCTGTTCCTCTCCACAGGGGTGGTGGTCACCTACCTCAGGGCTCCAACCTCTCTATCAACACCAGCCAGAACATCAACATCAAGTCAGAGCCCATCTCCCCTCCGCGGGAGCGCGTCACCTCCTCTGGCTTCCCCCAGCAGCAGCAGCAACATCAGCAGCAGCAGCAGGCGTCCAGCCGGCAGGACCTGGGCCGCTCGCCAGTGGACAGCCTCAGCTCCTCCTGCAGCTCGTACGACGGCAGCGACCGCGAAGACCACCGGCCGGACTTCCACTCCTCGTCCATGGGGCTGGGCAGACCCCCGGCCGGCACCGAGGACAACAGGGAGAGCCCCTCTGTCAAGCGCATGCGCATGGACACCTGGGTGACATAGAGCCACCCATTCAGGCCTCCAGTCACCAGCTAGTCAGACGGAGGGAGGGAGAGGGTAGACATGGGGGAGAGATGGAGGGGGTAGGAAAGGTCCTGATAGTTATCATTATAATATTATTATTTAACTCCATTTCATTTTGTAAGAAGGAGAATGGCAAATAAATTAAATAAGTCTCACATTAATAAGAAAAACATTCAAGTAGTTGGACTGAATTATGTACACAAACAGATGTTATCAGGTACTGGGTGCGAATCAGATTATGTTTGCAGGAGTCCGATGTTCAAAGAAAAAAAAGAAGAAAAAAACAAATCTAGATTATTGTAGTCACTGGTCTAGTCTGGCACTTACTTGTAGTTGCTGTTTTTGCTGTTGTGGTTGCAAGTTACAAACAATCAAAGAAAGTCTGAGTGTTGCCTGCTGGCTGAGGGCCCCTGTTTGTGGCGTCCACTGTTAGAGCTCATGTTTCACTACACGGTGTAACCTCATACGACTTTAATCTCATACAACTTTGTCTCAATTTGTCTCTTCTATTAACTTATTAAATCAATAGATGTGAAATCAAATTTTAAAACAATTTCGACCTCAGAGACACTCTACAAAATAGTTGTTGTTTTTCATTTGAAAGAGGTTTCCCTTGTGGGGTTTGAGACAGGAAAAGCTATCCTGTATGGGAAGGACATGGCTCAGAGTCATGTGTTTAGTTCTAAAATAAATAGGAAAAAGTATATTGCAATAATAACATATTCATTTTATAATCTGATATATGGGACATTAACATTATGGGAAATTGTCCAGTTGAACTGGTAACATAGTAATAGCAAGACATCTTCTCATTGCTCCAACAATTCATTGGTAATGTAAGCCAAAGCTGTACTGTATGTTTCTTTCTGTTATTTTGTAGCTATGGTTTCCTAGCAATTCTCTCAAAAACAATTGTTAATTTTTTAGTTTAGTTTTTACTGTGCTTTGTTACAAACAATATAAAGACATGCAAGCCAGATCTTGAATCAATATCTAAAGCCATGAACACTTGCTGTTCTGTTTGTAAAATTAAACATTTGAGCCAAACACTTTCTTTTGTTATGTAAATAGCAACTTTAATATATATATCACCTTGGTGTAAGTACGTATGTATTGTACCATCACCAGATTCAAGAAAAAGGTATATTTTTGTGGATTACTGCCATGTTTACGGGCGGGATCCTTATTAAGTAGATGATTCACTGGTTAATATTTACTATTTTGTTAATTATACTGTACTTTCTTCAAAATTGAATTACTACCGTTATAATCAAAGTGGTTTTGTTTCCAGAGAGTCGTTTTTTGAGTTGTTTTCCCTTTAATAGTGGTGAATGTCTGTCCTTAAGAAATTGTAATAACAGTGATGTAAGGTTAAAGTTCCACTATATCTTATGTTGTGAAGGATAATCTCAACGCTGAGGAAAATATGGTTTAGGGTTAGGCTATTTACCTGTAGCTGCTGAATACACTGCCAACTTTCAAACCCAAGGTCCCATCTCAGCATTGAAAAACCATCCATTGTGATTGTGCTTTACTCGATTGAAAGACATGCCATTTCATGAACCATGCCAATAAACCTATTTGGGTCGCTCCACGAAAAGAGTGCCTTTTGCGTCACTTTGATATTTGAAGTAGAAATTGTGCACCAATATTGCATTTTAAAAGCCTGTTATATTAAATTAAGTGCCCTTTAATATACACTGAGTGTACAAAACATTAAGAACACCTTCCTAATATTGAGTTGCACCCCCTCTCCCCATTTGCCCTCAGAACTGCCTCAATTCGTCGGGGCATGGACTCCAGAGTGATGCTGGCCCATGTTGACTCCAATGCTTCCCACAGTTGTGTCAAGTTGGCTGGATGTCCTTTGGGTGGTACACACGGAAAACTGTTGAGCGTGAAAAACCCAGCAGCGTTGCAGTTCTTGACACAAACCGGTGCGCCTGGCACCTACTATCATACCCCGTTTAAAGGCACTTAAATCTTTTGTCTTGCCCATTCACCCTCTGAATGGCACACATACACAATCCATGTCTCAATTGTCTCAAAGCTTAAAAATCATTATTTAATAACCTGTCTCCTCTCCTTCATCTACACTGATTGAAGTGGATTTAACAAGTGACATCAATAAGGGATCATAGCTTTCACCTGGATTCACCTGGTCAGTCTGTTATGGAAAAAGTTTTGTACACTCATATACTAATTTTAATATGAATAAAGGCTTGCTAAAGTGCCCAAATTCTGCATTTTGACATGTCTGTGTCACTTATAGGAAGATAGTAACCCTCTTAATCTCAAAATTTCTCTGAAGATTATTTATTTAATGTGATTAGTAATTAATTTACGTCTGTCCCTCATTTTAAGGTCAACCCTGTTACGTGAACTGAACTCTCTTTTTAATATGGTGAAACTATTCCTTAAAAAAAATTATTTTTCAAAAGAAACATTGAACATCTAGTAGTCAAATCATACAGTAAATGCAGGTGAGCTGGTTCTACTCTTTTTGGCAATTTTCTGGTGTTTTGTGGTGGAAAACTGAGTGGGTTGAACATTCCATGTCAACCTTGTTACCCATAAATCGACAGGCTAGAAATGTTTTTGTTTTTTAATTGTGAAGCTTGCATTCAATTGCCACTCTCTGTTGCACACAACAAGCTTCCATTCCCTGTGTCACAAGGGGATTTATGGCTGATTTAAGATGTTTTATTTTTCTTCTGCTTTTTCAGGGGGCGCTGCAGCACCCTCAGCACCCCTACTTCCCGCTACAATGAACCCTGTTACGGTCAACCCTGTTACTTTATTTGGCACTATTTTATGAAGTTGAACATATGCTCTTTATGACAGAATGTAAAAATTAGGTGGAATCTACAAAACATTTTTTACCAAGTTAATACTTCTCAAAAGGCACCGAATTGGTGGAACGACCAATTTATGGTTAATTAAATTATCCATTGATGGATCACTCTAGTGAAATTGTTCACACTTATGAGTAAATTAAGTTAAAAACGCTGTAAATATCATAGCCTAAATGTAAACCTCAGTCATGATCATGTATAAAATTAATCTGTTTTATAAATTGGCACAGCAAAATACCCTATGTTTGCGCTCCATCACTAGTAGGAAATGAACAACCCTGAAATCATGATCCCATAAGCAGGGTGTAGTACCTGTGAGTGGCAGCAGCCATTTTCTGTTTTACTGTTGTATATTTGCCTGTGTGATAATATCAGACCATGCAGGCAGGTACGTCATTGTCTGTTACAGGTGGCCTTGGCTTGCATTATACCCCATCCTCACAGTGGTAAAGTGTCAGAGAATTCAGCAGCTAAAACATACTAGAGACAATGCAACAGAATAGACTTGATCTGACACTGCTGGATTGCACACATTTTATGAGAAGTTTGCTGTACAAAAGGAGTATCTCTTTACATTTGCTATATTTTCCCTTGTGTGTTTCTCCTCCACGCCTGTCTCCACCCCTTCATTTGATCCATAGCAGTTGGCAATAAGCCAATAGTGATCTATGCAGTTTCCAACTCATACTCTGCCCAGATGCCGCCCTTTAAAAAACGTCACTTAAAGGGTACAATCTACTATTAAATGTTATTGCATGTCCCATATAGTCACCCTCAGTACTAAAATGACGATTTGTGAAGATGATGAAGTAGGAACTGTGTGATCAGGGCCTGCAGGGCCTGAGCAGATGAGAATATGACTGTTAACCTCTAGTCCTTAAGTGCCACTGCATGAGGGAGCAGGATAGCCAGTTGCACATAAAATGTAATTCATGTATACCTTTTTGAACAAATTATTAATTCAGAATTATTTTAGACATGCATAAGAAACACAACATAACTTATTTAATATCCAATTGAACACATGTCAGGTTACAGAACAGCAATAATACCATTACACTATTCTAACAAGACTTTAGTTGTCTTTTTTTCATAGCTTCATTACAAATTACATGCACACTTTAGCACTTATCAGGGAATTTTTCTAGCTCCACTCTTTATGTGCACAATTAGAAAATAGCCTTATCCCAAAGAATTACTCATGTTATAAATCAAGAAAAGCCTCACATACAGTAGCTCCAAACTAACGCCGCTACAGCTAAAGAGGCTGACATACATTACAGAACATAGAGACTGGCTAGTCTTGCCCACTCTGCGCTCCATTGAAATCAGATTCACGCAAGGAATGTATAGAGAACGTAAAGTGGTACACCTGCTCTTTTGGTCTATGTGCTGTGTAAAAACCTGCACAACTGTTGAATGTGAAAGAACAGGATTATAGGAGACAACGGAACTTTGCTGAAAGAACATTCTTCATTTTGCTGTGCAAGAGTACACTGCTTTGCTGTATGGCTTTTTTAAACAGAACTATCTATTTGGTAATTGTTTGTAGTTAATAGTTCACGTCAAGAAGCTGTTTGCGGTTTGGATGCTCAAACCGTTTGGCGGCACAAGCTGGACTTTGTTGCCATGAATGAAACAAACCGTTTCAAAATCAAGAGAGAATTTTAAGTTAATCTGCATTTTATTTCCCTTGAATGTGTTGTTTTATCTTCATTATATAATAAATATTCTAGTGAACTTTTTATTGAATGACTAAGATATCATGCTAGAGATTGTTGTAAAATGTGTATTCTACATTCACTAAAGTAAAACTATTGGCTTCTACTGTCTATTTTAGGTTCTCTCACTTATTCTGTAAATGAAGTGAACAACTTTCTTACCTAGATTTTGTCCACCTGTGAAGTCCCAAACAATAGAGACTGTCAGCTTTATTAAACACCTCAATGTATGCTCAAACACTAACTCTATGTGCCTTCATAAGGGAGTGATGGAGAGGAAAGTGTCATAATTATTCACATGCATCATTTTATATAGATCAGCCCAAGTTGGCTCTCATAATACATAAGTGCAGTAAGTGCATTTGAAACGGAATAGTTCACATTGCTATTACTGATTTAGTATAACTTTTCATTGACATTTTGGGAAAACCACGACATAGACAGGCAAGCGTGTTGATGGTATGCAATACCAATACTTACCAGCAGGTGGGGTAAAAACAATATTCACATCCATATATAAAATTAAAATATATATATATATATATATATATATAACACTGGAACTCCTGCATAGCCTGACCATAATCGTTCGATTTATTAGCCATCATGCATATGCTACCATTATTACTACTACCAGTAAATGGTGGACCCTACTGTCAGGGGTGTGTGAATCATAAGGAGTCAGACAGAATCAGGTGCAAAATGGTGTTTATTTACAGGTTTTGGGCTAGAAGGTGAGCTGGATCCATGAGTAGGCCTATTTACAAAACGTTTACGAAGTCTGTCCTAGGATGTAGACTAAAATAACTGACAATAGGCCTAATCTAAATAGCCAATAACTGAAGCTATGACTGGCTTCTGCAGAGCGCCTCCAAACAGTGGCGGTGCATGGGTAAAAATCTGTGGGGAAGCCAAGCCAAGGCAAGCCAGTAAAAAAGCCATATTACAACCTGTTGTGATAATTGCACTGTTTGCTTTCTAACCCATTTCTTCATACGCCACCATGATATACAATAAGGCAGAGACAACAACAACACAACAATCACACAGTGGCGGAATTAATTCAACTACACATACGTTTGTTTCATCACAAAACCGGACAGCAACATCTGTCCTGTAAAGTCCACAAAGCAAATATTGCATTTAACAAACAGTTATGACCTGCAGCATGGTCAACTACTGATTTAGAACAATTGAGTTACCGCCATCAGCAGAAAGACAACAGTCGCATTGCCTCCACCATTTCAACTTAAACATTTAAACATCATCAAATCAACAAGGCTATACAGTGCCTTCGAAAAGTATTCAGACCCCATAACTTTTCCACATTTTGTTAGGTTACAGCCTTACTCGAACATTGATTACATTGTTTTTCTTCCTAATCAATCTACACACATTACCCCATAATGACAAAGCAAAAACAGTTTTTCAGAAATGTTTGCTAATTTATAAAAACCTACTGAAATATGACATTTACATAAGTATTGAGACCCTTTACTCAGTACTTTGTTGAAGCACCTTTGGCAGCAATTACAGCCTTGAGTCTTCTTGGGCATGACGCTACAAGCTTGGCACACCTGTATTTGGGGAGTTTCTCCCATTCTTCTCTGCAGATCCTCTCAAGCACTGTCACGTTGGATGGGGAGTGTCGCTGCACAGCTATTTACAGGTCTCTCCAGAGATGTTCGATCAGGTTAAAGTCCGGGCTCTGGCTGGGCCACTCAAGGACATTCAGAGACCTGTCCCGAAGCCACTCCTGCTTTGTCTTGGCTGTGTGCTTAGGGTTGTTGTCGTGTTGGAAGGTGAACCTTGGCCCCAGTCTGAGGTCCTGAGCGCTCTGGAACAGGTTTCCATCAAGGATCTCTCTGTACTTTGCTCCGTTCATCTTTGCCTCGATTCTGACTAGTCTCCCAGTCCCTGCCGCTGAACAACATCTCCACAGCATGATGCTGCTACCACCATGCTTCACCGTAGGGATGATGCCAGGTTTCCTCCAGATGTTACGCTTGGCATTCAGGCCAAAGAGTTAAATCTTGGTTTCATCAGACCAGAGAATCTTGTTTCTCATGGTCTGAGATTCCTTTAGGTGGCATTTGGTAAACTCCAAGCGGGCT